GTTACGTCAAAAACTACTAAAGTAAATTTAACACGAAGCGTACATTTCTTTTTTGTTCATTATAGCGTAATCTAGACATGTAATATAGTAACGCCTCAAGGGCCATTAAACTTAAGTTTCCAAATTATTTGCAGCCAGCGAGATGTCAGCGGGCAAAACACATCAATCTCTCAACTTGGCTCGAACGTAACAACTGATGCTGCGGGATCATTCATCTTAATACTTTAAAGCTGCAATCATCAATCCTTGGTCATAAATGAAAAATGGGTTTTATATCCAAAGTACGGCAAATATATTTGATTGACCGGGTCGCGTAGCAGCTAGCGCCCCTTGCTGCTAGTCGTGGGTCGTGGGTTCGAATTCCACTTCGATATTTGGGTACACGTTCGTTTCTATGGGTTTAATATCTATTTATTAAATGTCTATGTTTAGCCATATTAAGATATGTATATACTACTTGGCTGCCACAACACTATGTGTATTTCGTTACGAGAAAAAAAGAGTTGGGCGTGAAATGCCTTTACATTTTTTTTAAATTAATAAACCACATAAAACAGTAGCGATTTTACTTTGAAAATTTCTACATCTTATAATATTTTTAAAACAGGATTGATTATTCTAGACATGATTTTTTATCTGATTGTAATTGACAGGAAATAATCTTATTTTATTAATACTCGTATATGTAACTTTTTTTTTTTTTTTTTTTTTTTTTTTATTGCTTAGATGGGTGGACGAGCTCACAGCCCACCTGATGTTAAGTGGTTACTGGAGCCCATAGACATCTACAACGTAGACGCGCCACCCACCTTGTGAGATACAAGTTCTAAAGTCTCAGTATAGTTACAACGGCTACCCCACCCTTCAAACCGAAACGCATTACTGCTTCACGGCAGAAATAAGCAGGGCGGTGGTACCTATCCGCGCGGACTCACAAGAGGTCCTACCACCAGTAATTACGCAAATTATAATTTTGCGGGTTTGATTTTTATTACACGATGTTATTCCTTCACCGTGGAAGTCAATCGTGAACATTTGTTGAGTACATATTTCATTAGAAAAATTGGTACCCGCCTGCGGGATTCGAACACCGGTGCATCGCTTCAACACGAATGCACCGGACGTCTTATCCTTTAGGCCACGACGACTTAAAGGATAAGATTAAACTATACTGAGACCTTCGAACTTATATCTCAAGGTGGGTGGCATTTACGTGGTAGATGTCTACGGGCTCCAGTAACCACTTAACACCAGGTGGGCTGTGAGCTCGTCCACCTATCTAAGCAATAAAAAAAAAAGATACCTTGTTTCATTATCTATCGCGGACGAAACTAATAGCCTTGTTTCATGTAGTTAAAGCTGGTATAGTTACAGACCGATGGTTTGCTAGCCTTTGTGACGTGGTTCCATAGAATTGGACATTGAATCGCTGGTCTTGCTAAAGCACCTCAATGCTTAAATGTCAAGTAATTGTAGAACGTTTTGAAATATGATCTATTGTGGAAGAGAAATTGCAAATTTTTAAAGCGTAACTTATTTGACTTTGTGCATCACTAACCGTAACTTTTGAATATAATGAAACGAGTTCTATATTATGTCTTATATTAAAAATAATAGTTAAAAAAAAAACTAACAAAATACGCTTTTATAGAAAATCCAACTAAAAAATAGAAATTAATTTTTTATAAATTTGAATTAAAAATAGTGTAAGAAAAAAATATTTTATTGTAAAAAAGCGTGGGATGCTTTTCAGGATATTATCAAAATAATCCTTCTACTCACATCTGTTCATAAAATATTTATAACTACTGATACCATGCACCCCATGCCTTTTTCTATTTTTCTAGTTGGGTTTTCTATAAAAGCGTATTTTGTTAGTTTTTTAAACTACTATTTATTTTTCATTTTTTAGTTGAGTTTAAATTTTTTTTTTATTAATATTGAATTGTTATCGGTCCTTAATAAGTATATTTCGAGTTAATCCGACGTTTTGAAGGGGTCCAAATCATGTTCAAAGATTCCGTTACAAACATACATACTAACATACATACGTCTGAAGTTAATAAAAGCGTAATAAAAAGGTGCCTTCATCGTCACTTTTAAAACACAAAAATAATTTCCTGTTAATTTATCATTCGTATTGATTTTTAAGCATCTGTTCTGTTAAACGCTCTGTTATTTAAGTAACAGAGCAGGAAACGGTATTAGAAAGAAGACGGCGGTATTACTGATCAAACTTTACTTTTAATGTTTCGGTATCCCTCGAGCCAAAAACTGGTCCCACTGGTAAATTCGTTAAACCGTGTCCTCTTTCTGTAGAAGTGATATGAACGGGGATATCCAAAGGCCATGATCCACTTTGGAATTCCAAGCCAAGAGAATGCGTACGATGTAAATAAAGTTATGATTTCTCTGACAAATCGAGCAAAAGGCTAGACGACAAAAGTCTTTGTTATCCTTTTGTTAATTTATGAAGAGCGACTCGAAAGGGTTGTCGCAGCGTTTCTTCTCGTTTTGTTTTCATTTTAATTTATTACACGAATAAGTCAAAGGTTGCTTTGTTGTGTGCGAGTTGAATCTCTTTTGAGATTTTTATTATGTTTTTTTTTTATCGCTGACGGTTGAACAAACCTCACGGTCGACGGCGTAAAATGCTTACTTTGAGATATGAGGTCGAAATCTCAATTGTATTGCGTAAAAAATATTCCCGAAGAATTTTCACGGTTAAAGAATATCGTGTCATAAAAATCATACCCGCAAATAATGAAAATTGCGTTATCACTAATAGTAGGGAGTATTGTGAGCCTGCACGGGTAGGTACCACCACCGTTTTTTTTTTTTCGGGCTTGGAGCCGAACCTTCTACGAGGTCTAGGGGGCGCGCGGGTCCGCCTAGGGGGCGCGCGGGGTATGTGGGACTTGACGATCTGCAAGGTGTTAGGAGCAGACCGCGGGAAGAAATTTTAGAGCCCACCCACTAAACGACTCCCCTGCACTCTTCGCCCAAGCGTCCGATCCCCTCCGAGGTCAGAACCCGGATGAGGTAGGGGGTTACCGCGGTCAACACTACAACCAGACAGCGCGGCTCACCTCAAGGACACCCAGCCGATGGAGCCTTCGAGGCGAATCGAAGGCTCTGAAACGTCGGCCGTCTCGGTACGGCAGCCCATCAGGCCGCCTAGACGGTGCCGCTATTGTCCCGGAATACCCCGCTGGACCAGAACCAGCCTGCCGGGTCGGGACGCGATACACCGCCAACCGGTCGCTCTTTCGTATCTCCTTGGCAGCGCGCTAAAGCTGCAGGTAACGCGCCGCGCGGCCTAAGGTCGCCCCTCAGGTCGCCCCTTGACCTTCACCGGGGGCAAGTCGCCATCTACAGGGGCCGGGACGTACGGACGTATTCCCTCCTCCGGCCCCCGGCTCGACGGCGACGGATCGGTCCGGAAAGGGAAGAGCTCTCCCTCTCTCGTTCCGCCGCCTCCTTCTGCGATATGGTGGATTCGCAGAAGCCGAGCATCGAGGTACTGCCACCCTGCCTATTTCTTTCGTGAAGTAGTAATGCGTTTCGGTTTGAAGGGTGGGGCAGCCGTTGCAACATACTGAGAACTTCGAACTCATATCTCAAGGTGGGCTGTGATCTCGTCCATCCATATATGCAATAAAAAAAAACCACACACGTATATACATGATAATACGCCCTATAACAACAGTAATGTGCATAATATGTCTCTTCCAGTGATTATATAATATAAATTTCCGTGAACGTATTCAACGTCTCAATACGATTTGCATTTACAAATGTATTAGTAAGCGTTTACAGTACGTGCATACATACGTGTAGATTGTTTGTTAATTCAAATGGCAATTTGCGTCTCTCACTCGGGGGAACGTTACGACATAAACGGTTTTGTGAATAGCGTTATGTTTGGTTTGAACACTAACCGTATATAAATATATTTAAGTCTATTCTAGTATGTCACATAATGTATTAAAAGAAAATGATTTTTATTTTATTGTTATTCTGGAACTGACATGTTTCTTAGGTATATTGTTACTCTATAGTTGTAACTAATTGAAGCTGAATGAGGACTTTTTGGCGGGAACGCGAGGAGTGAAGTTGTGTGATTTGTTATATTTTGTCTATTTAGTGTTTCTTTACGTTTAAATATGTAATAACTGTATGTATATTATTAACTGTTTGGTTTAAATATGTAATAACTGTATGTATGTATATTAACTGTTTGGTATCTGTGAAGGTGCACAAATGTGGGAAAATCAAACGAAGCCGCTGAACGTAGCTTCTCGGGATCCTCCAAAAAGTCAATTGAAAAGTCTCAGTAAATGACTATCATTTTACTGAGATTATATTTCATACCACATCATCTCATCTCATTTCAGTTAATTTCATTTCATTTCAGTTCATATTATCATTTTTCATAAACATAAGAAAATAAATTAAAGAAGACTTGACCTAAAGGTCTTAGTTACCAGGTCATTAAATCCCATAAAAAAAGGCGGGTGAATGGTATTTTTTTAATGCGGAAAAAAGAAAGTTTTCGTGTTTTAGAGGCTCATGAATGAATTATGAAAACCGAATTTCAATTACAGTACAAAATTGAAAACCCATTCATTAATCAGAGTGTACATTTATTTAAATGCATATTTTTAGATAAAACTAGCATATTATTTGAATACGTATTAAGCTTTTAGAAAAAATACCCCTTGTGAAAAAAGTGTTCCCATAGTAGCAACAGACTTCAGTTAATTTAGTTATTTGTCAATCTTTTGACGCGACAACGTCTTATGATTCGATGGAGCCGGCTGCACGCACGAAAAAACATGACTCATGCGGCGTTACCTCGCTCTGAGGCGTATTTTCTTATGACGTTGTCACGTTCAACTATCGTCAGTAAACCGACTTTACAGACAACCGTTTTTTTTTCAGTGCTTTATTTCGAGGTGCGGAGGAGTTGAAGAGATTGCTGTTATTCAGTCACTTACCATGATCGTGGTCGGGTAGTGGTAGGCTGTCGGATGCATCGGATGCAAGTGCTAAATCAGGCGATGCCGCAGCCAATAATGCTGTGAGACCATCCTGCTCGCCATCTGCGAAACATCAAACGACCGACTTTGTGGAACTAAAGTAAAATGCAACATAAAATATCTCTAAAGCCAACTAACTATTTATCATTCCCATACTGTTGATTTATTATGTGTATGTAAGAATATTAGTATGTATTGTATGTAAGTATATCTTTATCTTCTATATCTTATTCTATATAACTATATATATAAATGAATTACTGTTCGTTAGTTTCGCTAAAACTCGAGAACGGCTGGATCGATTTGACTCATTTTGATCTTGAATTTTTTGTCGAAGTCCAGAGAAGGTTTGAAAGGTAGATAAATATGTAAAAGCTCGGAATTAAATAAAAATAACAATTTTGTTTTCCCTTTGATGTGTCCCCCGTCGGACGGATTCCTTTTGTTTGTTTTAAGATTATTTTATACACAAGTTTAGGTCTTTTATTTATCGATTGAGGCACTACGAAGTTGCCGGGCCAGCTAGTTTATTTAAATATATTTCTCGTATGCGTGTGTTTGTCACTGAACTCCTCCTAAGCGGCTGAACCGATTTTAATGAAATTTTCTGTGTACCTTCAGATGGATTCGAGAATAGTTTAGATTTACAAATCAGCCTGCCAGATGGCGTTGCAGTCGGTATCTAAGTTATTTATCTTTCCTAGTAATAATTTATATGGCAAAACAACGTTTGCCGGGCCAGCTTGTTGGTATATCAATCAATTAGTTATATATTTCATATTAAATATAAACGGTATATATCTGTTTATTGTATGTATATATTTTGTATAATAATGTATTGTCCATATTACGCCGCAACATACCTGCAATATTTTTATATTTTCCAGAATTTCTATAAATTAAAAGGTTGTCTGGAAGAGATCGCTCTTAGCGATAAGACCGCCTCTTGTACTAATGTATCTGCTTTTTGACTGCTTTTTCAATGTAAATTGTGTTTTGGTGTTCAATAAAGTGTATTCTCTCTCTTTCTTTATTTAAGGATCGTTTGTTTGTTAGTTAAAATTCATTATAATTTAAATCACGAAGTTAAATCGCGAGCACTGTGCTCAGTCGTATTGTGTTTACTTTAAATCTATAGTCTTTTTAATCTTACCCGATACGAATTTTCGAATAAAGCGTTTTAGAATGATTCCCTTTCTAGTGTAAATTGAAGAGTGCGAGTTTTAGTTCGAGTGGTACAGTAAATCGCCTTCAAAATCTAGAACGTGCATCTATATTATCTTCTTTCAGCCAAAGGAATTCTCCGTTAATGTAGGTTTGACGCGTTGCCAAGGCGGGAGAATAAAAATTGCTAAAATTCAGTCACGTTCTAAAATTCTATACAATTCGTGCCTAAGAAGAAACGTTTGAGGCTTGTGAGCGTTGCTGCTGGAATGGGTGACTTGCACAGAACCGCTCCCATTATAACAAGCGGAGTATTTGTAAAATGGCGGTTTCGAGAAAAAAAACCGCGGCAAAACATATTTTAACAAGATATCTGTCTTTTAAGTTCATCAAAAAACTACAAAATGATTCAACAGTAATAACAGCAAGTGCATATTCTTTTAGCTCATGTTTTGTTCTCAAGCGACAAAATCTTCAAAATCTTCAAGCGGCTAGTACACTTTTTGTTAACATTTCTACGAAAAATTTAAAACCTAAATACATGAAGATTACTGCAAGTGCAATTAGTAAAGCAAAGAGGTCATTTCACGCGCTCACTTTCCTGAATTCACTTAGTCGAACTTGTATGTAACCAGCGCGCTTAACCAAAAATTGTGATCACGATTGAAATTCTAAGCGTGCAATGCAGTGTAAAATGTACATTAAAATCGTAGAAATCGGTCTGATTTACATTCTTCAAGAACCCCTGTTGACACCTAGAAGTAGATGTTAGCGAAACGAGTATATTGCGTCGTCTCTGACCACGAAAACTATAGAGTGTTCGAAATGTCGGAAATAATAAAACGTTAATATAAAAAACGCGAGATTAAACCGTAAAAGTAGTTTTCTCATTATATCAAGGACTCGCAGAAATTGAAGATAATACTGTGAGTGGAGAGAATGAGAGAGAGACAGAGAGAGATAGAGAGACAGAGAGAGATAGAGAGACAGTGAGAGAGACAAAGAGAGAGAGAAAGAGAGAGAGAGACAAAGAGAGAGACAGACAGACAGAGAGAGAGACAGACAGAGAGAGAGACAGACAGAGAGAGAGACAGACAGAGAGAGAGACAGAGAGAGAGAGAGAGAGACAGACAGAGAGAGAGAGAGAGAGAGAGAGAGAGAGAGAGAGAGAAAGAAAGAAAGAGAGAGAGAAGATTTAGAAACAAAAATTGCGGATTTAAAGACTATCTTTGAGTTTGTATGTCGGTGTGCTCGTATTGGTACGACTCTAATACAATGAGCATCTTATTCAGAGGGTTAACGACACTTTGATCATATTACTGTCGAATGAATATTTAGAATGATACGTTGTTGCCAAAGCACTTACGTATCATTATTTTTGTAACAGCGACTGATCTCCTGCGACGTTCGCGTTCGTATTCGGTTCTCTAATAACGCAGTTGTTTTACCGTGATGGATCTTACTAATGGAGTACTACCGGGGAGCTCACTCGAAACTTTTGCAGCTTCGAATACGGATAAATTATTTATGGCAGTCGAGCAATTTCCTTATTCCCGGGAGCGGTACTTGTCTAATTAAACGAGATTTGTGCCATGATACTTGACTGTTTATTTGCGAGGATTTCTCTAATTGAATCAAATTCAATTAAGAAAAAAAAACCTTTGTTGGGCCGTGTTTGTAAAACTCAGGTTTAGGTTAGTTAGTTACTAGGTGTATTTTTCTAAATTGAAGTCGAATTAATACAAAAATACAACAATGGTTATGGCACTAAACCTAAACTGTACTTCCTGAATTTCTTCTATAAAATGAATGTCATACATTTAGAGGATTACAATAATATATCAAGATGTTACACTATGATGATAAACTTAAAGATTAATGAATGAATAAAACAATAACAACAAAATTAGATATGTAATAAAAATTTAATAAGTTAGTATATTTATTTATAAACGGCATCTTTATCACAAAAGCTTAATGGTAAATTAATTGTCAATCGAAAAAACTAAGTAAGGTTATTAAAAAGATTGAACGAAAGATCAACTCATTGTTCTAGAAAACGTGGCAACTATTGGGTAGTCTGTCGCTGTTTTTCCGTTAAAAAAAAGCAATACGCCACGTGAGTACATTAGTAATTATTGACCCAGGTAAAAGTCGCAGAGGGACGCTGCAGTAAAACTATCCATAAAAATTGACAATACGATGATGAATAGAACAAATCTTTTTGGTTTGGTTTACAAAAGATGGTCTTCTATAATATTCCCAATATATACAATTCCTAAAAAAATATCCGAAGAAATATTAATTAATATTCAATGTAATACATTGAAAGTAACCTTCTTGAAATAGTTTCGCCGGGAATACCACAATCAATAAATACAAGCATTTAACTCTTGCTCTATTGAAATCTATCGTCGGTCAGACAGTATTAATTACGGAGATAGCCCGAGATACTGAGGTCGTACTCGACGCTGGCTGCTTCAACTTTATTCGGCTTAATGAAATGGCAAGTAAATAGCATTACGAATTGAAGGCAGCCTGCTCGCTGACTCGGGCACAGTGTGAGAAGTTTATAAGTTTTCGGCGGTAAGTCAGTCCGTGTACAATATTACTTCATTTGCAACTTTATAGTCCCGCATTTTTCTGCGCAACTCCGGGCCGTGTTCCGCTCCACGGTTTTATGAAAGAAAAAAAAAAGTTCCGAGGCAGTTTTCTTAAAATTATTATCTCGAGAAACCGCCTCGATTCTTTGTTCCAGACGTAGTGAAGGAAAATAGGTCGTTTGCGAGCCACTGGCGTTTGTTATGTTTTCGTCAAATAAAGCGCCAACGTAGGATTTAATTAGCCTCGCTTTTTTTTTCTTTTTTCTCTAATTTATGTCCGAGACGGATGTTGTGTGGGACGCTGCATAATTTTATAGGACAATATACGTTTTAATTTTCTTATCCCACTGGTAAAGTTATTTCAGCCGGAGTCCGGTTTACAATTGTTGTGAGAAAGAGAATTCTCGACACAATGGTTGTATTTTATTTGATTTAAAATTAAGAGAAACGTTGAATACTTTGCAATGTTTTCATTCATTTCATTATATAGTAGTAATAAGAAAACGAGACGATCACAACGAAATCGAATGATTGTCGTTTAACAAAGAGGGAATGTCTCGAGTCGCAAAACAGAAAGAGGCTTAAGCTTCGCAAATGATTACAAAGCGAAGATGAAAAGGACGGATAAATAAATTTCTTGGAGTCCTCCAAACTGTCCCATTGAGCGTTTGTCCTCTCAGATTTTGTTCGAGACAATTATGACATCTGATAGCGCTTTGAAAATCTTACGGGGGCTGGCGCGAGACGGTAAGGTCGATTACCGCTAATTGCTTTATGGATTTTCATGCGGGGCGTTACTTTTCTTATTACTAACTCAAATGCTCGATGATTTAGCCAATATTATATTCTACTTTATTAGGTGTAATCGATTTAGCTGGGGATCCGAATATGTTGATAACAAAAGTTAAACTATTAAATGGCTACATGCGGTTCAGACTTGGCAGGCGTGGAGCGGTATGGAGATAGACAGGCGTGGGACATTGTGCCCGGGGCGAGGCGTCCTTTTCAAGCGTTCACTTTCATCTCGACGGTTAAGCTCTCTCGCATCGCTCATTCTGACGGGCCATTTCAAATAAAAATAACCTTTTGCGCGTGCACCACTTGCGATTGTAGAAAAAATAAATTGAGGCTCCAAATGGATTTATTTCAATTTAATAGTATATGTATATATGGTTTGATGATTAATTGAATTTGAATTACTTTGACCAACATTTATTTATTTTTAGGCAGCGCAGAACTAATCTTTGTGGCGAGGCTGTGGGGAGACCTATATCCAGCAGTGGACGTCTATGGAAT